AGAGAGAGAGAGAGAGAGAGAGAGAGAGAGAGAGAGAGAGAGAGAGAGAGAGAGAGAGATGCTCTCGCGTAATTACGTGCATGCTCCGTGATTTGAGTATAAAGGCACGACTAGTTTTATGTTATGTCAAAATACGTAATAAACGCGTATTTATTATGTCAATAACACGTAATAAACGCGTGTATATTATGTCAATAATACTTAATTAACGCGTGTTTATTATGAGTTCTTGATATATCGTGTTTATAACTGCCCATTCGAAAACTAGATCGTGTTGATTAAAAGGGTTTTTAATAATTTTAAACAGTAATTATAGAACACATGTACCATTATCAAATAAACGCTAACATGAACATTTATTCATAATAAAGGTTGATGCAATTATATGAGGCAGTAATTATCTGATTTCTCATGGTGTCTTTTTTATTTTGGCGATAAGGGTTATAGCCAACGCAACGCAGACAGCAGCGAGAAATCCCACCGTTCCGACTAAAACCCACACGATCAGCCACTGATCGTCGGCACTCATGTCCTCACCCAAGTTACTTTTCATAATCTCAACCATAGCCTCGACGTTTAATGCTGCCGAGCTGGTCGGATTAACAATGTAGTTTGTATTCGCGTTTAATTCTAGCAAGTATTCGTTCCAGAACTGCGACATTCGTTGTCCAAACGATGTTTCGAGCCGGGATGGCCAGTCGAGTACCAAGTAGTGTTTCTCTTCCAAGTCGAACTTCTTCCAAATCACGCCCTCTAGTGGCTCAGGTGTTGGGTTTCTGCCATCAAAATTGAATATGAGGAACGGATTTCGCATGGCGAGGGATAATATCGGCAAACTACGTGTAAACAGAGGGTTAATAATGACAATTTATTACAAATTTATTATTATTAATTTAAAAATTACGATGATAATTACTAATTATTAACGAAAGATTTGTCATTATTAACCACTGGTATAAATAATGTTAAACACACTCATAGAGTTAGATGGTTCACGCGCGCCTTATTACATAAAAGTGGACCGTCTATATACCCATATTTGGCGAAATTCGTCCACATCGTGATCATCGTCTGACTCATATTGGCGTCGCGGTCGTTAAACAGTGGCGCTGGGTTCACGCAAAGGTCATTCGCCGTGCGGTTTGTCGAGACGCACACCGTGAAGTCCTCGCGTAAAGGCACGCCAAACAGGTAGATGAGGTCCGTCCCGTGCGGCACAACTGCAAACGCGACCACAAATGCTCACAGCTGCGTGTGTGAAAAGCAATCCCGCTTACAAACAAGTACATAGTCGATGGCAAGAAACCCGCGTGTTCTTCACGCGATATTCTTCTTACGCTTCTTTGATTGATGGTAGTATTTAAGCAAAGAAAATGTTACACTTTCATATAAACTGTGGTCATATTTAGGGGACATGGGTGATGCGGACCCCCTTGTCGGAAAAGTTATTAAAGGCCCCTCCCAGTAAGGCTCTCTTGTCAAATTAAATTCTCGACTGCCGGCGATACTTCTGAGGATCATTGAAACATTCACGCTTTTCTGGTCAGTAATATCTAGTCCTCTAGCCACGCATGCATAATTTAACCTCTGCCTATAGGTACCTACATCAATATCCATGTAAAACTCATTGTTATTAATTAAAGACAGATAACATTCTGTGATATGCTAGGTCTCTGCTAGGAATTTTTATGCTGGTTCATTTAGACACTTCGAGATGTAATATAATATGAATTAGGGTTGCGGTTAAAGTTATGGTTTAGGTATGTACTGGTAGCGTGGCCGAGCGGTCTAAGGCGCTGGTTTTAGGCACCAGTCTCTTCGGAGGCGTGGGTTCGAATCCCACCGCTGCCATGTATCTTTTACTCACACGCGCATGTCACAGCGATGGACACATAATTTTGTGCCTGATTACCAGCTACTAAATTCTATATGCGTCTACATTGGGAGAAAAATATTAAAATGGCAGCGGTGGGATTCGAACCCACGCCTCCGAAGAGACTGGTGCCTAAAACCAGCGCCTTAGACCGCTCGGCCACGCTACCTTCCTTCTTTATTTTCAAATATTTTCAAAATACTTCCAAAATTCACGACATTTGGTTTGTTATGTACATATGACGTGTTCACAACAGTATACGAACACGTAGTATGTATACAGAGTTTATATATGTACAGCTGCGGGATTTAGGCGTGTTGTCACCGGTTTTTTCCAGAACCGCGCACCTGCTGGGCATCGTTCAGAATTCAGACGCTCAAAATTTTCACCAGAATGCACAAATATAAGTTCTAATTTTTTTAATATTATTCGGGGGGGCTTGCCCCGGCCCTTCCTAGCTTTGACTAGAACTAGGAAACTGGTTCACCCAAACCCGGCTGATCCGCCCACTGATGCCTATCTATGAAATGCAGAAGGGATTGTGTATGTACTACCTACTTATTATTGTTTTGGTCTGATCTGGTAGTCGTTATCGCTAGGCTCCCACTCCCCCCCGAAGGCTTCAAATTCTAGAAATATTCTCGAATTTTCAAAGTAAACGTCGTGATAACTATGGAAGGTAGGTGGCGAGTGGTCTAAGGCTGCTGGCTTTTAAGGCACCGTCTCTTTCGGAGGGCGTGGGGTTCGAATCCCATCGCTGCCATTAATATTTTTCTTCGACTGTAGATAACTAGAAAATCTAGTATTTACGCAGGCACAAAAATATGTAACCATTGCTAGTATATGACTTTTTAGTAGTGATTATAGTTTTACTACAGCGCTATTTGGTGTAAACTTTGCGCATTTACTATAATTATAACATGACGCATATTTTGATTTCTGAATAAGAAAACAATCAATATATTTATGGTTAGCGGAAGATAACAAGTAACTGTATATTCGTATGATGATGACACTAGTTGTATGGAAAACGAACACTGCCATCGTGATTTACAGGTTTATGTGACATTGGCTATATGTGAATGTTCGATGCACGCTGAATGATAATCAGACACTATAAAAACACTATTGGCAGTTGAATGACCTGCGGCGTAGCACACTATGTGTAGTGAGTAGAAAGATTATATGTGCAAGCGTGGGATTCGACCACGCGTCTCGAGTAGACTGCTGCTTAAACCGCGGCCTTAGGGACCTCGGCCACGCTACCTACATGATAAGTTTAGTACGGTTCCCGAAAAAACGAGATGTTCCGGAACTTGAAGATAAACTGGGAGCCTTCTAACGATTACAGACGAGAACAAATCGTATGTCAGCAGCTGGCGTGTTTATAGTGGGGAGGGGTCAGCGGGTCCGGACCTCCCCCCTGTCCTCGCTGCAGCATAACGCATGCTAAGGGTTCTAATTTCAACATTTTTCTGTGAATGCAGGGCCCCGAGGCACCCCCCCCCTTCTTCGCGTGCTACGCAAGTTTTGGGTACGCGTTTAGACTCCCCCTGCGTTACAAATTCTGTGCACGCACCTGTCCAGTGCACTTAATATGCCATCCCATCCGCCATTTCATAGATTAAATAATATTAGATCTGTATACGTACGCTGTTCATATAACGCTGTTTTATGTGTCAGGGCAGACCATTATTGTGAATTTTGGACTCGTTTTGGATGTTGCGAATGCTAGTAGCGTGGTCCGTATCGGTCTTAGGCGCTGGTTTAGGTAACCAGTCTTCTTCGGAGGCTGTGGGTTCGAATCCACGCTTGCCATCAGATGATTTTACTCTACAATTATTAAATATATCACGATATGTGTTCGCCGCATTGTCATTCACTGCCATAGTTTTTTAAAGTTTCATGTTTTCATCAGCGCCGCATCTGAAAATCCACTATACTACTCAGCTGCTCGCATAAATCGTCCGTATGCTGATTAACTATTAGGTATACTCTATGCATTCTATAGTAGTCGAGAATAATATTCTATCGCAGCGTGTTGGTGTTCGAACCCACCCTCGAATCGGAGACTGGTGCTTAAAAACTGGCCTTAGACCGCCTCTGGCTCCACTCTACACCCATAACTTGTAAACATCAAAAATTCACACCATTTGGTTTGTCATGTACATACGACGTGTTCACGACAGAGTTATGAACACGTATATACAGAATTATATTATATAATATATTATATTATTATTATATATTATATTATATTATATATATTTACTATATATATACATAAATTCTATAGAAATGCATACCCGTTGTCCGTTGTTATACCCGGATGTTATACCCGTACACGGACATATTGTAATTGTACTCGCCTTTAGTCGTTACGAGGCTACCAGTTTATCTTAAAGTTCTAGAATATCTCGATTTTCCGAGAAACGTAGTGATAAGTATCGTGAAGGTAGCGTGGCCGAGCGGTCTAAGGCGCTGGTTTAAGGCACCAGTCTCTTCGGAGGCGTGGGTTCGAATCCCACCGCTGCCATAGATATTTTACTCACACGCTCATACCACTTATGCTGATAGGGTCTATGTCTCCCTGGGTGCTGCCGGAACGTACCCTGGGTATGGTCCGGTATACCGAAACGTACCCTGGTAACTATCTGATAGGGTTAGGGTTAGGCTTAGGGAGTAGGCGTAGGCGACTCCCTAGACTTGTTAGTAGAGTAGGTGAGGTACGGTCCGGCATATTAGATAGTACCAGAGTACGTTCCGGTATACCGGACCGTACCCAGGGTACGTTCCGGCAGTACCCAGGGAGACATAGACCCTGGCAGCATCACTTATGTGCGCCTGCATTTCAGTCAGTGAATGGCGGTTCTAGTGTCATGATTTCATTCAGCGTGCATCAAAACATTCGCTATGCGCAACGTTCACGTGCAGTGTGAGTTTTTCGTACAACTAATGTCTCATCGTGACTACGAATTCAGAACTAGATAATATCTAGCGCTTGCCATAAATATTTTGGTTGTTTTCTGATTCACAAGTTAAATTATGCGTCACGTTATAATTGTAGTATGTATATGCAAAGTTGATACCAGATAGCGCTGTAATAAAGGTCACTACTCAAAGTGAAAACTAGCAATAGGCAAATATTTTTGTGCCTCATTTAATACTAGATTCTAAATGAATCTATAGTAGGACAAAAATATCTGTGGCAGCGGTGGGATTCGAACCTACGCCTCCGAAGAGACTGGTGCCTAAAACCAGCGCCTTAGACCGCTCGGCCACGCTACCTACATTCACAACCTCCAAATATCCAAAAACGTCCAAAATTCACATATGGTCAGTCTTGTACATAACAGCGTTATAAACACGTAGTATATAGAGTCTATATAATAAATTATGTATCTATAGAAATGCGGAGGACTGACATAATTATTGTATTCGTTCTCATGTGTAGTCGATAGGCTCCCAGATTATTTTTAAGTTCTAGAATATCTCGATTCCCCTAGAAACGCTGTAAAATTATTGTGTAGGTAGCGTGGCCGAGCGGTCTAAGGCGCTGGTTTAAGGCACCAGTCTCTTCGGAGGCGTGGGTTCGAATCCCACCGCTGCCATTAATGTTTTACTCATACACATGTGTGTACCCGCAGGTCATTCACTGCATAGTGTTTTTATAGTGTCATGATTTCATTCAGCGTGCATCGAAACATTCACTATGCGCCAATGTCACATAAATAACCGTATATGCCTGATTAACTATTAGATACTCTATGCATCTATAGTAGAAGAAAAAGATATATGGCAGCGGTGGGATTCGAACCCACGCCTCCGAAGAGACTGGTGCCTAAAACCAGCGCCTTAGACCGCTCGGCCACGCTACCCACTTATTGCAAACTACAACTACTCAAAAAACATCTAAAATTCTAGGGTATAAACTGAAGAAATGTGTAAACTTACTGCCTTTTAAGAGTGCCTCTATTAAGTCGTTGGCGAACTCCATGTGGTAAAAGAAAACATCGCTACCGTGTGTTGCGTGCCATTTCGCTTCCAGATCAGCAGGTGCTTTGATGCCTCCATCCCCCATCATCTGCGCATCATCACATTGTACGTACCATATTACCAATAACACCAACGCATTTCTCTCGAAAGCGATAGATAAGTAAACCTTACTGAATAAGTTGGATCTTTATTATATAACGCCTATATCTTGAATTGATCTCTATATTCATATTTCTGTTTTTCGTCTATAATCATCTTTCGTGTATTCATTTTTTATGTTTATCAAATTGTTATCGAAATAACGTAAATATTCAAATTAACATGTAGATGTAGGTATATACGTATTATATATATATATATATATATATATATATATATATATATACTTGCATCGCTCGCAGACTTCTGTGCTGGTCGTTTCTTATCGGGAAGTTCCCAGTCAGAATATTCCATGATGACGGCATCCTGTAAGCTTCCGGTTTCGTCCACATATCCGGATTTCCTGAGGGCTGTTGGTACGACTTCGTTTCGCCACGTCTCCGGTGTGATCTCCCGGAGTGGAACACCTATGAGGTGTTCTATACATAGATAACATTAGCTCTCGCTCTTACTCTACGCATACTCATTAGTATACGCATATTAATTATTACTTCTTCTGCGATTACTCTTATTTCCCTGCCCCAATTCACACTTTTTATTGTTTTTATTTTCATTGGTATTCTTTCTCTCGATATTAATGTTAGTTAAATTGTTATGCTACGTGTTGATGCTTGTGAATTTTTCTTTTCAATCTAGCCTTTCACATTGAATCTTGCCGAGCAATGCATGACGGTTTGTCGATAAATCTCTTTGGTAACCGAGATTGTCTAGCGAAGTGTTAGTGGTTATTAAAGGCAAGTGTCTTTTGCATTACTCTGTGTGATTGGTTTAATGGGTCTGTACACTGTCTGTACAATACCATGTATAATATAATTTATTTCTAAAGTCAGATCCTCGCCTGACATCGTTATAGCGTTTTACAAAATAGATGAACGATACGGAATTCAGTATCGTTCATCATTGCGCAACAGTTAGGAAACAGCCAATTAAGCGCCGACGAATCCCATATTAACTTTATAGCTGACTTAGCCCTAATAATTAATCATATTTTAATATAAATTTGAATAATATTTTTATTTATTTTTATCTATTATTATATATTATTTAACTTAATAAATTAATATTTATTATAAATCATCGACGACCCGAATAACCACGTTTCTTACCGAGTAGGATGAGACCTTCGTCTTTATTGACACCGATTAGTATGGGGACTTTCTCGTACGTGCCGGCTTCTAGCAGTTTTAGAGGATGCTCGGGTATGAATTCGTTGGCACCATCAACGACAGGTGTCCATAAGATTGCCACGTCGTCATTCTGCAAAAGAAATATCCGAATCACTCTGTCAATCTGACTATACTGTCATTTCTGTCCATAATATTGCCACGTCGTCGTTCTGCGAACAGCCAACAATTATCCGAATCTGTCTCCGTGATTACGATGCAACTAGAATATCCGATTCGGTGTTTCGCTGTGTTGTGCAGTGATTAATGGAGGATTCTCGCGCGTAGGCACCTTCGGAGATGCACCGATATACAGTAAATGGCGCTTATACTTTATAGGACTTACCTCAGTAACAGAACGCTTACTTTAGTATGATGGCCCAGATCGTAGCACCACATATCGTGTCTCGGGTGTATATCGCATATCATATGCGGGAAAACCCCAGAAGTAGTGATAATCATATCCCCAAGTTTTAGTTAAAGAGTCAATGCCCATTTGGGCTACCACACTTTAGTGAACGTTCGTACATGGACGTATTTCGACTTCCTTGCATGCAAATGCAACATTTTCAAGGAAAACAACAGCGCTGAAGCTTACATCTAGAACGTAAGAGGTATTTACAATAATCGACAAGCCGTATTTAAACGATTTCGATTTTGATTTAATCATTATTATATTATTATTTATTAATTCCATCGAACCGATAATAATAATATAATAATTATGATGATGATAAAATTAGAGGGGTACAATAGAATTAATGTATTACCGGAACGTCAGCAGTTACAAGATCTTGCGCCGACGTCGTCTTTAGACAGGCGACCATGGACTCGCTATCTGCCGACGGACAACCGACAGCGTCGGCAAGCAGCGATGCGTATTTGCGTGGGTTTGGGTTGATCGACCAGAGAGCGATCGAGCTGCCACTCGCCACCATAGCTCGCTCGTATTTGCCTGCATGGTATGGTAAAAAATAACCTGTAATGCTGCTACCTCGTTACGAATAGAGTGAATAACGAGGAATAGTAGTCCGCCTATTTGTCTCGCGCCTTCTT